ACATACAGCAGCTGTTGGCTGCTGGAATTATAACAGAGTCCCGTAGCCCCTATGCCTCCCCAATTATTGTTGGGCGGAACAAGAATGGGGCTATAAGAATCTGTATTGATTACAGAACACTGAACAACCGCACTACACCTGATCAGTATACAATGCCACGCATTGATGATGCCTTGGACTCCTTGTCAGGCAGCCGATGGTTCTCAGTCCTAGATCTGCGTAGTGGCTACTATCAGATAGAAATGGCTGAGGAGGACAAGGAAAAGACGGCATTTATTTGCCCCCTGGGCTTCTATCAATCGCTGTCCCGACAGTATGCCCAAGAGGAAGTTGCGCCACAGTGATCCCTTGTGGCGCATGCCACAAGGGATCACTGGAGCACCTGCAACGTTCCAACGCTTAATGGAAAAGGCTGTTGGGGACATGCACCTTCTGGAGGCCCTTGTGTACTTGGACGATATCATTGTCTTTGGCAGAATGCTTGAAGAGCATGAGCAACGCCTCTTCAAGGTGTTGGACAGACTAGAGGAGATTGGTTTGAAAGTCTCCATTGACAAATGCCAATTCTGTCGTCCTCAAGTTAAGTATGTGGGTCACATTGTATCCACCAATGGAATAGCCACCGATCCAGAGAAGGTTGAGGTGGTGAAACACTGGAAAGTGCCCACTCACTTGAAACCTCTCAAGTCTTTCCTCGGATTTTGTAGTTACTATCGGAGGTTCATAGCTAACTACTCCGCCATTATCCGTCCTTTGTCAGAACTCACCAAGGGTTATGCACCTACTTGGAAAGACCCCAAAGCCAAGAAGAGTGTAGACCCAAACCACACCTATTTTAAAGCATCCGAGCCGTTTGCGGAACGATGGACTCCAGCCTGCCAGGCTGCTTTTGAACAGATCCGTGAATGTCTGATCAATGCTCCAGTATTGGCATTCGCTGACCCCACCAAGACATACATTTTGCATGTGGACGCCAGCATGAATGGTTTAGGTGCTGTCTTGAACCAAGAACACCCTGAGGGCCTAAGGCCGGTAGCTTTCACAAGTCGAAAGCTCAAAGACTCAGAACGTAACTATCCAGTTCATCAACTGGAATTCTTGGCATTAAAGTGGGCTGTTGTGGATAAATTTCACGACTACCTGTATGGTGCCAAATTCATTGTCAGGACTGACAATAACCCCTTAACGTATGTATTGACCTCGGCTAAGCTCAGTGCTGTAGGGCATCGCTGGCTCGCTGCCCTCACCACGTATGATTTCACCATACAGTAACGCCCTGGGCGCCACAACATTGATGCTGACTTGCTGTCCCGACAGTATGCCCAAGAGGAAGTTGGAGAATGGACTTCCATCCCGCCTGCTGGCATTAAAGCTCTCTGTAAACGAGCCTGCATCAGGGAAGGAGCAGTTGTACCTGACAGATTGGTGGATCAACTTGGTGCTCCTGCCTCTGCAGTACCAGAAGCCTATGCATTTCCTGTGAATCTCAGCGTAAACATCCTTGATCAGCTGAGTCCGAAAGACATTGAAACATCACAAGATATGGACCCTACCATTGGGCCATTGAAGAAAGCCATCAAGAGCAATAAAGGGTTTGCTTGCTCTAAAACTGACTCGCCAGAGACTGTGATGCTCCTCCGTGAAAGTCGCAAATTGGAGTTGAGTGATGGATTACTCTACAGAGTAAAAGAAAAAATGTGTGGAAAGCAAAGCCTGCAGCTTGTCTTGCCAGCAAGATACAGGTCTATGGTGTTAAGGTCTCTGCATGATGAGTGTGGGCACATGGGAGCAGAGCGAACAACAGAACTGATTAAAGAGAGGTTTTACTGGCCTCGTATGGCAGCTGAGATTGAGCAGTATATTCGCACTTGTGGAAGGTGTATCTCCAGGAAGACGCTCCGTCAGCGTGCCTCGCCCTTGAATCAGATAACAAGTAATGGCCCTCTAGACTTGGTCTGCATTGATTTCTTACAGATAGAGCCTGATTCTAAGGGTGTTGCAAATGTGTTAGTTGTGACAGATCACTATACACGTTATGCACAGGCATTTCCTACCAAAGATCAAAGTGCCATTACCGTTGCAAGAGTCCTGTGGGAGAAGTACTTTGTGCACTACGGTCTACCTGCACGAATACACTCTGATCAGGGCAGAGACTTTGAGAGTCGACTGATCAAGGAGCTGTTGTCCATGTTGGGGATTCGGAAGTCACGAACGTCTCCCTACCACCCGCAAGGTGATGCGCAACCGGAAAGATTCAACAGAACCCTTCTAGCAATGCTCGGTACCATGGACACTGCAAAGAAACAGTGTTGGAGCCAGCATATCACCCACCTGGTACACACGTACAATTGTACAGGGAGTGATGCGACGGGGTACTCACCTTATTATCTCATGTTCGGGAGAGAAGCTAGACTGCCCATCGACGTCTGCTTTGGAATCTCGCCAAATGGTGAAAGTGAGTCCTCCTACCAACAGTATGTTTCACGGATGAGAAAAGAGTTGCAGGACGCATACAAACTTGCATCAGATGCAGCTACAAAAAATAATCTGAAGAACAAAGCACACTATGACCAACGCGTGAGAGATCTGCCTTTGGAGAAGGGAGACAGGGTTCTCATTCAGAATGTTGGAATAAAAGGCAAGCATAAACTGCAGGATCATTGGAAATCTACACAGTATGTTGTAGTGGAGAAGTTGCCTAACCTGCCTGTTTATAAGGTAAAACCAGAACATGGACCAGGTGTACTCAAAACTCTCCATCGAGACCACCTGTTGCCCATTGGTTATATGGTCAGGATGCCTAATCCATCGGATGACACAGGACACATTAAGAGACCCGTAACCAGAGCACATCGTGCCCAGAAAAGTCAAGCAGTTAAACCGCCTGATCCAGTTGAAGAAAGTGACACAGCATCATCAGATGAAATGTTTGAAGCTGTCCATAATCCTCAAAGTTTTGGCGTGCAAGAGGTCAGGAGACAACTGGCAACGCCACATCAGACTTTGGAAGAGGATGACACTTCTGAGGAGGAACATTTTGTAGCAGCAGAAAGTCAACCAGTAGAAGAAAGTGAAAGTGAAAACTCATCTGGAGATGATACACCTACTATGCTGGAATATGATGCTCAAGAGACAAATGAGTCTATGGGAGAGCAAGAAGAAGAACGGGAAACAAGTTCACCCTTTTCAAACAGAACCCGAAGTGACAGTTCTCATAGAAGTACAAGAAATGAGAGTGAGCAGTTCTCCACATCCCGAAAATCCCTGAGGAAACCAAAACCACCCTTGAGATTGACCTATGAAAAGCCAGGTCACCCATCTTGTGAGCCTGTTACCATCATGCACCATGGTATGGTCATTCAACTAAAATTAAACCCTCCAGACATCAGTGAACCAAAGGGACGTTCTAAGACATCGAAGAAGTTCTTAGGAAGTGAGGAAGACCATCACCCTGTAAAGCTAAAGAAAAGTCAGAGGTGTGATGAGGACATCTACACGGTTAGAAGGGGGAGGGTGTAGTCCTGTTTGCAATTTTTCGGGCTTGCAGTGTAAAGAAAAAAGTCTACTGTTATAAAAAATGAGAGAGAGGTTTCTACCCGGATGGACCCTGTTGTTTTCTCACCCCTGGCTGTTTTCTCACCCCTGACTGTTTTCTCACCCCTGACTGTCTTCACTACCGGTGAACTAACTGCCCGTTTCTGATTGCCCCACTAACAAACTCATTGGACTCGTGAGTACTAACTGGAACTAAAGTGCACGTATTTTGTTTTATGGCTCAGTTTGAATGAAGCGGCCATCAGTTTTAGGCCTCACCGCACCCGAACTTCGAATCAGGCCTGCAACAAGCACGTGTAGTCTGGACAGGTTAAAATGTGTGTGTGTGTGGGCCCACTGTTACAAATTTGGTTTAAATTGAGTAAGTGTGTAGCTTTAATCAAAGTTATTATCAAAGGTTGAAATCCATCCATTTTAAAGGTGTGAGCTGTTGTAACTGAAATAACAGTTGGCACCTAAGAAAGAGGTATTTTGTGTTGATAATCTTTTATTTATAATCCATGTAGTCACATTTACAGTATTTTTGTTTATTTGAATTCAATTCATTTTATAAAAGTAACTGTTTATTTTATTCATTTCTTTTTGTCTAAATAAATACCCGGTGAGGGATAAATTTGTGTAAAATACAGTTGTGGTGATCCTTATTAGTTAAATTAGAGGGTATCAGGTATCATTACTAGTAGCACTACGAACCCAGGCCCAGTCTCATTGTACTATATACTCTAGCTTTACCATAGCTACGTGGGACCTGGGTTACAATAGCATAAGGGGGTCAAGGCCAATACACCACTATGCATGCAGTGCAAACTGAACAACTTGTTGATTTTCTAGTATAACTCATGAAGCCCTATTTCAAATGAAATGCAGTTATTCACAGGCAATTCAGACAAATAGACATACTTCTTTTCACTAGCTAATGAATATTCACTCTACTTGTTTAGCTTTCTGGCTCACTAAAGAGGAACAACTTGTGAGAGCATATGGGCGAAAGAGAGCTTTTTTATTTTTAACTAGGTGCTAGTTTGCAAAATATAAAATTCACTTTGATCTGTCGAGATCAAGACACAAAGAAAAAGCTCCGGTTATGGTACCTTTCGGTATATATTGTTTGCACTTGGATTATAGAGGGACATTTCAAGAAACTACTTAGTCTAAGCTGTGGGAATGGAGCAGACAGTGCTATGTGACGCTATGTGACGCACTCAGCTGTATTAAAGCTGCTTGTGTATTCTGTGCACTGTATTTCAGTGTGCAGCCATCACCGTGTTTGTAACTGTGTGTCATCCTGTTCTCTAAATAAAATTGCAATGTGCATGTAGTCCTGTCTTGATAAAAGATATGACATTTCTATCAGCGTGTCGGCTTGTGTGTGTGAGTGACGTCACATGCGGACAAAGGTCCCGTCCTGTGCAGTCTGTGTGGCAGTCTGTCGGCCAGAGAGACAGAGAGGGTGAGAGAGAGAGAGAGAGAGAAGGAGAGAGCCGCGCCAGCGCAGAGAGGCACGGAGACGAAGCAGAGAGCGCAAAGGCTTCGATATCTGGGGGGGAAATTAAAACAACTTGCATTTTTGAAAAAAAAAAAACAACAAAGCCAAAAAACAAACAAAATCGGGACATAGCGGTGGGAAAATTTGACCGATCTTTCGCTTTTTTCCCCTGCACGGACATAAAATGAAAGGGTTACCTGGCTGCATGTTGGATTTTAAATCTTATATTACACCGCTGCGGCGTTGACTTCAGAGTTGCGCAGGCAGAGTCTGTATGAGTTGTCTGTTGGAGGAATTTTAGACACTCCGGATCAAACTTGAGTTGGACATCCAGGAACCAGTCAGGGAGTAAGCTAAACCACCTACCCACTGCTCTCACTGCATGCAGGACACTGTAAGTATTTGATATCTTATCCTCACTGTTGAGAGATTTCCCCACAATTTAACATTTGTTACATAGAGGGGGTACATGTATAGGTTTATGTGGACCGCTGTCTTACTATGCACATATGCCTAAGAGTGGGCATCTTTTCATAATCAAAAGTATACCTGCCACGTAGACGTGGCGATAGAGCAGTCAGTTCAGATAAAGGCTTTGATGGTATTAGCAGATGCCTGGAGCCCCTCAGCGCACCGTTATTTCAACGGGAGACGCGCAGTTGTGCGTCTATAGAGGATGTGAGAACAGGGACGCGGCTGGAATGAAGGACTTGTTGCGCCAGAACTGGGCTCTTTATCAAACTCTGGGATTGGAACAACACTTGTAAATGGGAGTGAGAGGAAAAAAATAAATGGGCGTTGGGTGTAGGAGTTTATAAAGGCTGACATCTGTTTAGATTTTCCACGCTGATCTCGTTATAGAGAATGTGTTCTTATGATCTTATTTTAGATTTCTTTATCGAATCTCTGCGTCTTCCTCCCCCAAATCAAATCTAAACTCATTCTAACCAGCATCGGTTATTCAAGAGAAAACACTTGTGCTGTCAGTGTGAGTATTACAGATGACCAAACCACCAGCAGCATGTTGAAGCATTTCTTGCAGTGCTGGCGTCTTTCCAAAGAAAACGCCTTGACTCTGTCTTCTGCCGGCAGGCGTCAATCCACCCTACTCAAGCCCTAAAAATCAACTGTAACTGTTACAATTTTAGCAGACTTTAGTAACACCTTCGGGAAACAAAGTGATTTAGTTATTTATCGAACACAAGATAGTTAAGTTTAACTGTATGAATTTAGGGTACACAGGCTTCACCTGTTATGGCAGAGATGGATAGCTCAGAGGTCCAACTTGTAGTCTAAAAGTCAAAAGGAGCAATAATTCCAACATCTTAAGACCAACTGGGATGGAATGCTTGGGTTTTTTTTTTTCATCTGACAGGTTCTGATCAGATGCTGTGTTGTTTGTCGGTTAGTCATAATAAGTCATGCATAACAAACTGGAGATAAATATACATGAAACAGCTCTTGTGGGGACCTTGCTGACTGTTATCGGACAAAAGCACGTCTTAAAAGCTCTGTTTCTGTTATTGGCACTGTGAAACACTCTTAATGGAAAAATCTGAATCTCCCTTGAGACCCGTGGGACTTAATTTAGAACAGGTTTGCTCAAACTTTAACTTGCCCAACAATTAAGCTGAGTTAAGATGTTCTAGATGATATAGGGTGAAATGAAGCCATTGAGTTCTGTCCTTACTTGAGTTTTCTTAGTCAAAACTCCCCATGGCAAATTTCCATTTGAAGATGAACCATTTCACATCTATACAAGAGATAAAAAGGCATAACTGAGTACTTTTATGTTTCCTGAAAGAGCTCTTTTGAGCCACACACATCTGGTTTGTCATCAATCTCCACAGACCTCAGGGATGGATTTCTGTTACCTTAGCCTGGGTCATGCATTCAAATAAACACAGTTGGCTGTGTTCTTGCTTGGAAAGTGACAAAAGACTTCACAGCTGTGTTGCTGATGTGATGCGTTTTACTGGCTCCTTTTAGTTCCTGTTATTGGCAGTTTGCTCATTATATGCCTATTCCTTCTAAAGTATTATTATTGTTTTGAAGAATGTTATACACCCACCAAAAAACCTTGAAACTTGACCAGAAAAGTTTATTAAGTTCATGACCTTCCTTTTTTTTTATCAAAGTTTCCACATGCACCCAAGATATGTGATAAGACCGCAGGGTTTCTGTGTCATCAAAGTAAATTTGAACTGATTGAGAAGGCCTGCTGTAAGGGAAAAAAGGTGCTTGATACATGCTGTCACTCCCTTTTGATGTTTCCTGATTAACACTAATTTGGGACTCAAATGGTGTCTCTGTGTCTGAGTGGGTGTGTTTATTTGTGTATTCACAAGAGAGAGTGAGACCACTGCTTACCTACCACCCGCTGTCACAGGTCTCAGGGGGTCTTTGATGCTAAAGAGAGTGATAGGACCATTAGCACTCCTGAAGAGAGATTTCAAATGACTTTGGCTGCATCCACACTAATGCGTTTTTGTTTGAAAACGCATAGTTTTCTCTCCGTTTTGGCCTCCCGTCCACACTGAGACGGCATTTTCCCCAAGGAAAACGCAGCGTTTTGAAAACGCTCTCGAAAACGAATACATTTCAAAACGGAGCTGTCCCTTCACAGTGTAGACACTCGAAAGCGCAGACTTTCTTAAACGATGATGCGTTTTAGTCATGTGACGCAGTCATGTGACCAATTAAACAAAGATAGCGGAGGGCATTGTACAGCAGTTGTTTTGATTGCTCTCAATTTTGACAGCCCTAAAAAAGATTACTATCAGTTTGTACATGCTCCAGATAGCTTTTCTTCAAATTCTTTAATTCTCACTCGCATTTGCGCATGCGCAGGACTGGAACGTAAGCGTTTTCAATGTGGACGCAGAGCGTTTTCAGACGAAAACGCCGTTTTCAAATCCATCCGGGCTAGTGTGGACGTAGCCTTTGAAGCGACTTTAATCATGGATTCGACATTCTCGACATTTCTTACAGCCTTAAGCAACCAGAATGAAAGATTTCTCTTTAATAGTTTGTTGAATATCGATTTAGTTTTATTTACTTATTTGATGGATAGTGTGGATAAGTTAGATTTTAATCTGATCATAAAAAAAACTAAGAAACAGGAGATCAATCCAACAAGCACAGTGGTTCAATTATTGTCATATATACAAAATCTCACATTTTTTGGACATTTCTTTTCTGGGAAATTCTTCAGTAGTGTAGTGAGCCACATAGTTCTTATTTACTGAACTAGGTCAATTTGTTCACTCTCGATATAGCTTATTTAAGTCATTCTCAAGTACTTATTTAAAAAACAACAACTGTATAAATCTGCTTTTTTTCATTTAGCATCATCTTATGGTAACAAAAATAACATTTTCAAGTAGCTGCAGCACTCTGTGACACACAAACCAAATTAATTTAGTGCAACATTTTACAACTTACACAGCTACTGTAGAGTGTTGTAAAATTAAGACATAACTCGGGAAGAGAGAAAGTGAGAGATGATAGTGTCATACAACAAGCAGGAAAAAAAAACAGATAAGTGTAAAAGACTTATGATGCCATTGTATTAAAAAACAGTTGATGATGATTTAAAGTGACAGTGTTTGAGTGCTTTTGTTGAATGATACTTTGTCTATATATAGATTTAGATATATATATAGGCCACAAACATTTTTATTTACTAGTCAAGTGCACTTAAAATATGGGTAAAGCAAAGAGGCTCAGAGAAGCACCTCGGGTTCTTAGCCCTTAAAGTTGTTGTTGATAGATTTGATGGGGTTACAGAAACATACTCATCTGAAAGTCATTCCAGAGAAGTTGATTCTTTTGACTTCTGACCTCTTTTATCAAACTAAACAGAACTCCCATTGCAAAGACTTACTGTCTCCCCTGAAGATGACTGCTTTATGTTTCCCGTCATGAGCTTTGACGTCCATCAAAAGCCTGGGTTCTTGAAACATCTGTGTTGTGATTACTGGAACCCTGATTTTTCCTCCCCCTATTCTAAGGAACTGCATTCCACCCATTCTTACTCCATAGGTCCAGATTGTTTCCACATTAATGCAGCAACCTGCATGAATGTGTGAGCAGTTGCTGCAGAAAAGAAATTTCTTCAAGGGCCATTTAAACAGGGAAGTAATTCAAAATAGGCTGTTCACAGCTATAAAAAATATACAAAAGATAGAACAAATAGTTATAAATGGTTTTAGAATCACTGATACTCTCTCTGAAGTTATCTTGACTTTTACTTACATACACATGCATTCTTATTAACATGAGTTACAGATATTATGCTCCTCAGTGTCTGCACAGTCTTTGAACATTACTGTGAAGTTAATTAATCAAAATTTAAAAAATGATGCAATAAGGACCTTAAATCTAAAATGAATACAGTAGTTGTGATATATTTTATTATCAGTTACTGTCAATAACATAAACAATATCTGAAAATATCTCTCAAACTTCAGCTTGTTCTTGGTTCTGGGATCAAGTAATTATAGCTGTATATCTCATCTTCTGAAAACATTACCTTTGGCTTTTAATAGATAGACTTTGATAGAATTTGCTCATAACTACTTATTTGGAAGCAGTCGTTTGTTTTTCTCAATGTATGTAGCCATTTCTTCTGTTTATCCACAGGGAGGTTTGTTGCCATCTTCTACCTTTACAATTCATTTTTTTACCTTAGATAAATGGAAAAAAGAAATTGTGGTTTTGACAGGAAACTGACAGCTGTCAGATTAACACTACTGTGGTTGCATGGCTACAGTGATACACAATGAATGTTGTTTTGGGAAGTAAATATATTTGATGTTAATGTAGTTACTGTATATTCCAAACGAACTTCAGATAACGTCATGGCATGCTGGAAACATTCATAAATATTTAAAGAAAGCAGATTTGCACAGTTTGGTAAATCTATACACAAACTGCTCACAACTATCAGTGTGTACATATTATTATGCTGTCATCATGTAAGGTATTGTTTTTTCAATCCACAGTTTAGCTGGTGCTAACAGAAAAGAAAATGGACCCAATATTTACCCAGAAAGATTACATGAATTAGGTTAGAATACACAATCACTTGCACAAAGGGTAGATGTGTATTTACTGCAAAGTGTTTTGGATGCATACAGTACATGTTTTGGCTCTCCAAAATATGGAACAGTCATATTATGTTACCACTTTACTTACAAGTTCTTCTTTATTGAGAGGCAGGCTTTAAGGGCTTAAAAGGATAATGGTCAGTGTGACCAAAAGCCAAGTGTTCATCCATGTGATGTTTACATTGTCAGGAGCTCAACCCACAATGGTGCAGTACTGTAGGCTCGTGCTGCCAGACACTGGACCACATCAGTTAGAGATAAACACATTTAGTGGCTCTAATGC